TCCCTGGCCTTCACCTGCCAGATGCCAGTAGCACCCCTTCAGGAAACAGAAATTATCTTCAAACTCACCAGGTGTCCCCTGCACAAGTTGAAAGCCCCTGTAAGTGAGAACACCCTCACTTTGAAGTATAGATGTCATGTGTATTACATCTGCCTTTTTTGAAACCCACCAATGTTAAGATTTTTTGTTTTAAGCAGTTAATAACGCATATTTTAAAGAAACTTAGAGAAAATTTTCACATTTCTCTAGGTTTTCCATTTCCAGTGTTCTACACTCCTACCTAAGAGAAAGTTGTTCTTTGATGTTATTTACTTTCCATTGGGAGAACTTTCTTTAAAATTTGCTATAAAGCAGGTCTACTAGTGATAGTTTTCTTCTATCTTTAAGTGTCTTTATTCCAGCCTTCATTCTGAGTTGACAGACCTGAGCTGTAATGGACCCCCAGTTAATGGTGTCTGTAGCAAGACTATATATGTATTTTTTTGTTCATTTTGGGGGGGCGGGGGGTTTGCAGTTTGTTTTTTTTGTTTGTTTGTTTTTTTGGCCAGGGGTTGGGTTTGAACCTACCACCTCTGGCATATGGGGCGAGCACCCTACTCCTTTGAGCCACAGGTGCCGCCCTGTATTTTTTTAATTTAAATTTTATAGCTAGTTAGTAGGAGTGATCCATATGTCCAGCCACTGAACATTGCCTCAGCATGATTGCCGTGTTGCTTGTTGATCAGTGGCCTTTTATTCTTTAAAGATGGGATCTTTTTTTATCTTTTTTTAGAGACAGAGTCTCATTTTATCACCCTCAGTAGAGTGCTATGGCGTCACAGCTCACAGCAACCTCCAACTTCTGGGTTTAGGTGATTCTCTTGCCTCAGCCTCCCGAATAGCTAGGACTACAGGCACCTGCCACAATGCCCAGCTATTTTTTTTGTTGCAGTTTGGCTGGGGCCCGGTTTGAACCCACCACCCTCAGTCTATGGGGCCAGCGCCCTACTCACTGAGCCACAGGCACCGCCCTCTTTTTTTTATTTTTTTAAAGCAGAGTCTCACTCTGTTGTCTAGGCTAGAGTTCCATGATGTCAGCCTAGCTCACAGCAGCCTCAGACTCCTAGTTTCAAGTGATCCTCCTGCCTCAGCCTCCCAAATAACCTGGGACTACAGGCACTCACCATAATACCTGGCTAAATTTTCTGTTTTTAGTAGAGACGTGTCTTGCTCTTGCTCAGGCAGATCTCCAACTTCTGAATTCAAGCAATCTTTCTGCTTCGGCCTCCCAAAGTGCTAGGCATGAGCCACCATGGTACAGCCTAGAATGGAGTCTTACTCTATTACCCAAACTGGACTCAAACTCCTGACCTAAAGCACCCCTTCTGCCTTAGCCTCCTGAGTAGCCAAGATTATTATAGGAGCATACCACCACACCTGGCTTGAACAACATCTTTTTAATTTAATTCATATTTACGTCAGCTGCTAATTATCAGGCAGTTTTAACCTCTGGGGACACATCCGTGTGCAGCTAACTCCTTCTTTTTTTGTGGCACTTAGGTTTTAACGGAATGAGATGCAGGACAAGCACATAAGCATTTAAACAAGTAAGAATTTCAGACCGGGCTCCATGGCTCACACCTATAATCCTAGCACTCTGTAAGGTTAAGGCAGGTAGGTCGCCTGAGCTCAGGGGTTTGAGACCAGCCTGAGCAACAGCAAGACCCCATCTCTACTAAAAACAGGAAAACTAGCCAGGTATTGTGGCAGGCACCTATAGTTCCAGCTACTCAGGAGGCTGAGGCAAGAGAGTTACTCATGCCCAAGAGTTTGTGGTTACTGTGATCTGTGACTTTGCAGCACTCTACCCAGGGTGACTGAATGAGACTCTTGAATCAAAAAAAATTTTTTTTTTAAATAGAATTTCAGGGCGGCACCTGTGGCTCAAGGAGTAGGGCGCCGGCCCCATTTGCCGGGAGTGGCAGGTTCAAGCCCAGCCCCAGCCAAAACTGCCAAAAAAAAAAAAAAAAAAGTACAATTTTAGAGCATGAGAAATACAGAGGTAGAGGTAAGGAGGGAAGTGGTGGACATGGCTGCTACTTTAGATGGGATGGTCAAGGAGGGCCTTTGAGTGATTGGGAAGGAGCTAGTTATACTGAGAGAAAAGCTCTGCACAGAGGAACACTAAGGACACTGGCCCAGAGGATAACATGGGAGGTCCTTAGAAGGTCATCTGTAGGAAGGGACATAATTAAATTACTAATAACACTGAGCATTTTACATCCAGAAGTATATTTCATCCTCCCAATAACCCAGTGAAGGTTGGTGCTATTTCCTTCTCCAGATCAAGAAGCAGTGGCTGAGGTACAGAAAAACCAAAGTGCTTTGCCCAAGGTCAAGACAGGATTCATACCCAGCCAGTCTGAGCTCTAGGACTTGCCTGCCAGCCACATCTGGAACTGCCTCCAGGAGTCAGGTCTCGGTCTTTAAGGAGCTCTGCGGCCAGAAACTGACCCTTTATCTCTTTTTTTCCTCAGGTGTACAAAAGAGCCAAGGCACTGGACCAGTCTGACAATGACATGTCTGCTGTGTACCGAGCCTATATACACTAAGCCGTCAACACCCCCACCCCCACCCTTCCAGTCTACTCCCTGACCCCCTCTTCTTCACATGGGGTTGGGGTCCTGGGACTTAACTCTGGACCAGCCCACCTGTCTCCATTTCCTTTTATACAGACTTTGAGACTTGCCATCAGCACAGCACACAGAAGCAACCTTCCCCTGAGGTCCTGGGGAGGGGAAGGGTCTCAGCAGGATTGGCTTGTGGGAAAGCTCTTAAGCTTGGCACTGGCCCCCTGGACTAGGTGGCTGTGTGTTCACACACAACACACACACACACACATACAACACACACACAACACAGGCTCTCATCCCAGGATAGAAGCTGCCCGGAAACTGCTGCCTGGCTTTTATTCTTCCGAGCTTGTCTTATCTCAAACCCCTTCCAGACAAGGAACTACAATCCACAGTGAGAATTGGAAGCCTTTCCACAGCTTCCCCCAGAGCGAAGAGGCTGTAGTCACTTCCACATCCCCTATTGGATCCCCTGCAGGGAGAGGCTCTGGGCCAAGACAAGCCAATACAGACTCCAGACGGAGGGTCCTGTGGGACCTCCAACTCAGGTGACCAGCTGAGAAGGATTTTCATGTATAAGCCACCCATGTGCAACTAACTCCACAACGCCTTTGTGAACTGAAAAGAGACTGGCAAAGTCCCGTGAAGATGGGGCTCTGGCTTTTCAGGAAGCGCAGCAAGCACCGGCCTGCAGGTGAGCACAGAAGCCTGGCCCCTACTCCTCAGCGCCGGTGCCACAGATCCCTGGGCAGTCCCAGGCCCCTGCAACCACATGTGTGGGAGCTGCTTCTCACCAAGCTTTCTTAGTGTTTAGATTTGCATTCCAGCCCTTGGGAGGGGGCTCCTTAGGGCCACCAGCGAGGATTGAGAAGTGGGGGAGGGGGGGCTCCTTCCTGTTTCCGTTATGCCATAGGCTCTTCACCTGGTTCTGAGGAGCCCCTCTGATGGTATCCCCTCACAGCAGTCCCAGCTTCTCTAGTCTGCCCCCTGTATACCCCACCTCTCCGCATTCTCTCCCTTCCCCCTTTTCCTCCCATGGAGACAGTATTTCTTTGTCTTTCTATCCCTTCTTTGGCCCAAACTCAGCCTGACCAACGGTGAGCATTTCTTAGGCTCTGCTCTTGATACAGGAACGAGTGTCTTCACTCCTGCCAGCATCATGGTCTTCGGTGCTTCCCGGGCCTGGGGTCTGTTGGGAGGGAAGAGAACTGGGCCTGACCTATCTGAACTTGACTGACTCTCAGAGGTGGGTCTGGGACATCCTTGAGGCCCTAGCATTTCTCCTTGGATAGGGGACCAGAAGGGGCTTGGAATGTTGCATAAGAACAAGGAGATCTGAGTTTTTTCTTCCTCTGCACGGGTTGGATTTTCCAAAGTCACAATTTGCAGAAGGCCAGCATTTATAGTGAAATATATAATCATATATATAGTGGCCACACTGGTGTGGGGTCCCTCCCCCCTCACAGCTTTGGTCCTCTTTCACTGATTAGAACCTAGGTTAGAAGATTTCAGAAGATGTGAGGGGGAGGGCAGGGATGATGCCTGTTAGGTTTTTAGCACAGCTGTTCATTTCACTGGGATTTGGACTCATTTCTGTCTGAACACAAAGCCTGTTCCAGTCCTGGCAGGACACTCTGGGGTGGGGGTGGGGAAGATGCTGTAATGAAACCGGTTAGTCAATGTTGTCTTAATATTGTTGACAATTCTGTAAAGTTCCTTTTTATGACTATTTCTGTTTAAGCTATTTCACCTTTGTTTTGAAATCCTTCCCTTTTAAGGAGAAAATGTGACACGTGAAAAAGCTTGTAAGAAAGCCCCTCCTCCCCCTTTTTTTTCCTTTACATGACAAATCTAGGTAATTAAGGTTGTGAATTTTTATTTTTGCTTTGTTTTTAATGAACATTTGTCTTTCAGAATAGGATTGTGTGATAATGTTTAAATGGCAAAAACAAAACATGATTTTGTGCAATTAACAAAGCTACTGCAAGAAAAATAAAGCATTTCTTGGTAACACAGCTGTGCCAAGCGAGTCTGTGGCTTCCCTTCCCTTCCCTCCCTTACTGTGTGGGGAGGGCGAGAGGGAGCAGCCAGTGCCTCCGAGATGGGCGGGGCCTGTGCGGGCCGCCCGCTGACCAATCAGCGGGGAGCAGCGAGGCAGAACGCCCATCAGCACCAGGGAGGGGCGGGGTCGGGCAGCGGTGCTGATCAATCGGCGGAGAGCCGGTGGAGCCGACGCCTGACAGCGCCGGGGAAGGGCGGGGTTCGTGGGGACGGACCGCCCTGCTGGCCAGTCAGCGAGCGCAGGTGGGCAGAGCGCCTATCAACGCCAGGAAGGGGCGGGGCTGGTGTCAGCGCTACAGCCACTTGAGGGGCAGTCACCGAGGCGGCGTAGCGGAGCGAGGGAGGCTGCGGCGGACTGCGTCCCGGGCTGGCCGGCGCGAGTCAGGTTCGCGCAGCCGCCAGCCTCGTTCCAGTTGCGCCCGCCTGCTCAGCCAATCGGCGCCGGGGGCGGCGGACCGATTTAGCCAGCAGAGACTGGCCGGCAGCGAAGACAGGCGCTCGTCGGCTTCGGCGATGGCGACCGCGATGGCAGTGACGGCGACGGAGCGGGCGGTGGTGGTGAGATGCGCGGGCGGAAGGCGGCGGGCAGCGGGCGACGGGGCTGGGTGGTGACCGCCGCTCTGTCCCGGCAGGAGGAAGAGTTCCGCTGGCTGCTGCACTACGAGGTGCACTCTGTGCTGAGGCAACTGCAGGACATCCTCAAGGTAACGCGTCCACCTACGGCCTTGCCCTCGTGCCTCTGCATGCCGACCCTGCCTTCTCCTGCGGGCTCTTCCCAGTCTTCCTGGGGCTGTTTCTTGAGCGCCTGATGAGTACACGATGCGGCAGTCTCAGAGGAGTCCTCACCCGAGGACTCAGTGAATCCTCTCCGGGACACAGCTGCCGGGTGCGGTCGGTGCCGAGTCCGGCGAGAGGACCAGCAAGGGCCTGAATGCACCCCGGGGGCTTGGGTGGGGAAAGGCTGCCTTGAAGCAGTGACATTAACACTAGAGCTCGAGGATCTCTGCCTCTTCTCTGGTTTTTTTTTTTTTTTTAGACAGAGTCTCAAGCTGTTGCCCTGGGTAGAGTGCTGTGGCATCACAGCTCACAGCAACCTCCAACTCCTGGGCTCAAGCGATTCTCTTGCCTCCACCTCCCAAGTATCTGGGACTACAGGCGCCCACCACAACGCCTGTCTATTTTTTGGTTGCAGCCGTGATTGTCTTGCCTGGCGGGGCTGGATTCCAACCGGCCGACTTAAGTTGTATGTGGCTGGCGCCTTAGCCGCTTGAGCCACAGGTGCTGAGCTTCTTCTCGGCTTTGTGAGGCTTCATGATCCCGGCCAAGTCACTCAAACTCTGGGCCTCCCCTTGCAAAAAGGAGATAACAGTACCGGTCTCTCAGGTCTGTTGTGCAGATAGATAAGCCGTTCAACTAGAAATGTCCAGCGCAGTACCTGGTGAGGCCCAGAATTACTGGTTGCCATGACCACTGTCTGTTCTTTTCCCTGACTCTGCTCCTCTGCCCAAGCACCTCAGCTGAGCTGGAGGCTGCTCCTCTCTGTTTTGTATTTACCACAGTGAGCACAAATGCAACTGGCACTTAGGGAATGAGCAGTGAGCAGATATCAGGCTCACAGGCTCAGGTAGGACTTGAGACAGGCTACCATGGGAAGGTGCCCTGGTGGCTTGGGCAGGTCCCAGGTGAGGCTGGCCCACCTTATTCCTTACTCATCTGACCTGGAGGTGGGGGGCTTCTGGAAGGTACACCAGGCTGGTCATGGGTAAACGTTTTCTGCTGCTCTTTTATGTCCACAGGAGGCCTCTCTCCGCTTCACTCTGCCAGGTTCGAGCACTGAGGGACCTGCCAAGCAGGAGAACTTCATCCTGGGCAGTGGCAGGTTAGCCCAGGTTGGGTGGATTCCAAGGGAATGGGTACCTTGGTTTGGAAGGTTCCTGGGGTAACTGGTGTGGGTCGGGGGCAGAAGGCATGGTCACAGCCTTGCACTGTAAATGATTGGGTATGCTGTGGGACAGCTGGGAGCAGCTCACTTGGAGGGCCTAGGCAGGAGGGGGTGGTAGCCGGGGCCACCCTGACTCTTATGTGTTATAGCACAGATCAGGTGAAGGGCGTGCTGACTCTGCAAGGGGACACCCTCAGCCAGGCGGTGAGTCACCCACCCCTCTCCCATTCCCATTCTGCCAGTGGGGCAGAGCACAGGGGCCTCCTGCTTGTCTCAAGATCTGCTACCAGACAGCTGTGTGACTCTGGGCAGTATCCTTGGCCTTTCGGGGCTTGTTTTCCTCCTTTGTAAAATGGCAGCAGTCCCACACCTCTTCATGGGACTGGCATGTGGATTCAGTGAGAGGTGTGGGAAAGGGTTGCTTTGCACACAGGCCAGCCTGGACCCACAGTGAGCACAAATGCAGCTGGCACTTAGGGAATGAGCAGTGGACTCAAAGAAGCATGGGCATGGGTGGGTTAGGCTGGCCCCAGATCATAGTTGAGTCCTCAACCTCTGAACTCCAATCTGTACCCAACCATGTACCAAGCACCAAAGCATGGGGGAAGATCCCTCCTCTGTGCCTCCCTCTGTTGGCCTTGGCAGACATACCCCATCTGCCCACCGCCTCAGGGAGGCCATGATCCCCTTTCTCATCTTCTTTTCCCCTTTGCTTTTTTATGGCTCCTCCCAAGCCTGAGTTCTTGTTTCCTGACCTCCCTGTTCACACCCCAAATGGCCCAGGCATTGGGAGCCTCTGAGCCTGCAAAGCTACTAAGCCGCCCACCACATGCCCCATATATACCCCTGGCTCAAGGGCTCAGAGTAGCCAGAACAGGAGATGTGTCTCTGCTTGGCTTATCCCACTCTTATCTGTTAGGACGTGAACCTGAAAATTTCCCGGAGCAACCAGCTGCTGCACTTTGCCTTCAGGGAGGACAAGCAGTGGAAGCTGCAGCAGGTGACCCAGTCCCTCCCTGGCCAGGGCTCAGGCCACAGTGACAGGCAGGGGCAGGCCCACCGTGGGGCAGATGCCTGCCTGGGGCTGGCCTCAGTGAAAAAGGATTGGCCTTGGGGCTTTGTGGCCACAGCAAGCCTGGGAGGACATTTCCTATCAGCCAGGCTGGATAGGCAGTGCCTGCAGCTCCAGAACCTGCTCCTTGTTGGAAGGTAGAGAGCCTGTCCTGTCTGAGGGCCTCTGGGCCCCAGCAGGAGCCTCAGGAGTCCCCAGAGCAACAGCTGGATCACATGGTTCAGAATCCCCCTGAACAAGTCACAGCTGCCCAGGGCTTTCTGTGGCTTTTGGGACATCATCTGTGCTCCCTGCCATGCTCCCAGGCCCAGTTCTTCTCCTATCCCCTCAGATATGTTGAGGTCTCCAGCTCAGGCCCTGTCCCTGCATGTTCCCTGCACTTTGTCGCCTCATCACAGTGTTTCCTTTTGGCAAGTTTTGAAGATAGTTGTCATCTTGGGCATTTATTCCATTAACCTGTCCTTTACAAGGCAAACTATGCAAGGGCAGGGACCAGGCCTGCCAGACACCCAGCACCTGGCCTGATTGACCTGGGCTAGGCTGGCAGCACCTACCCTGCCCTCTTCAGAGGAGGGCCCCTGGGGGTAGGCCCAAGAGGCTGTGGCTGCAGAAGCTGACATTGACTCAGCTCGATGACCACCCGGGGGGTACTGTTTTCAGATCCAGGATGCCAGGAACCATGTGAGCCAAGCCATGTACCTCCTCACCAGCCGGGACGACAGCTATCAGTTCAAAACAGGAGCCGAGGTCCTCAAGGTGAGCTGCCAACACAGGTTCTCAGGTTCTCAGCCCTGCCCCCTGCCCCGTGCTCCCTGGGCCCAGGCCCATCGCTCTAGGTGGGCCTCGCAGTGTCTGTGTGTTCAGCCCAGGGTTCTAATCCCAAGGCCTCCACTGTGAGCTGTGCGACCTCAAGCTGCTTACGTAGCCTCTGTGTGCCTCCATTTTCTTCCCATGAAAGCAGGATAAGCTGTAATGATTGTTAACCACAATGCTGTGGGTCAAATAGCAGCAGGGGTAGATGCTCCCGCTTAACCACTTTTTGGCATGTGCGTAGTACTGACTCAGCTACCAGACTCATGCTAGCTCTGCCCCTGACTTGCTGTATGTCCCCAGAAAGTTCCCCTGCCCTCTGGATCTCTTCTGGTTCTTCATACTTGGAACCAGATGGACTTAGGTCCCTTTCAGAGCTGAGACAGAGGCACCCTGTGGGGATATAGCCCCCATGCCTCCACTGGACAGCTGCATGCCAGAAGTCTACCAGGGCTCTGATCCATGGCAAAGGGAGGGAATAAGCTCTAAGTGGCTCCACTGTTCACTGGCCATGTGACCTTGGCTTTCCCCTTTGGAACCTCATGTTCTTCACTGAGGAAATGGGGCTACTACCCACCTTAGAGTCTTTGCTCAGCCATGCCATTGCTTCCTCCAAGAAGTGCTCCCTGGCCCGCTGTACCTAAGCTAGATTAGGGCCCCTTCCTTAAGTCCTCCTTCATTGCTAGCACTCCCACATAAGCCTGTGCCCCTGGGGCTGACCTCCCAGGAGCTTACATTCTCTATTAGACAAGTACCTAGGATCCCCACTAATAAATCCCTATCTTGACAGACCAGTGCAGAGAGCCTGTCCTATCCCCAACCCCCAGTTGGAGCCCAGTTACCTGCATCTTTAACAGGCCTCCCACTGTGGGAGTTCAGGCCTTGAGGACCATGACCACCCAGCAAGAGAGGGAGCTACTGTAACTGATGCTGGGGGCAAAAGGGGGGACCAGATCCCACTGCCTGTGCAGCAGCTGTGACCTGCCCCTTCCCCCAGCTAATGGATGCTGTGATGCTGCAGTTGACCAGAGCCCGGAACCGGCTAACCACCCCAGCCACCCTTACCCTACCTGAAATCGCAACCAGTGGTCTCACGGTCAGTTCTTTGGGCCAGTCTCTGCTCCCTGAGAGGGGTCCTCACAGAGGGACACAGAGGAGCACTAGCATCCTCTTAGAAGTTTGTGTCTATGCAGATTTCTGAGATGGGGTTCTTGTCTTCCATCCTATGTCCCCCAAATATGGTAACCTTGTTTTGGGTTAGTGGTTCCCAAACCCAGCAGTACAGGGAGATATTGAAACACCTAGGAAAAGTCTGAAAGCTCCAGAGCATGTCTGTGGGTAGGGATTGGGATTCCCATCAGGTAGTTCTACAGAGGCTGGACCTCACCCCACCTGCTCCCCTCAGCGGATGTTTGCCCCCACCCTGCCCTCGGACCTACTAGTCAACGTCTACATCAACCTCAACAAGCTGTGCCTCACCGTGTACCAGCTGCATGCCCTACAGCCCAATTCCACCAAGGTGAGCAGGACCCTTCCCAGGCCCCATGCATGCACTCCATGTGGCTTGGGCCTGATGGGTCTGGTGCTGCTCTGCCTAGAACTTCCGCCCGGCTGGAGGCGCCGTGCTCCACAGCCCTGGAGCCATGTTGTAAGTAGGCAGAGGAGGGGGGGTCCAGGAATGCCTGTCCCCTCCGCCCCTCCCCTCTGCACCCAGGAGCTGGGGCTAGGCATGCCCTCAAGGACCCTCCCCTGTCCCCCAGCGAGTTGGGCTCCCAGCGCCTGGAGGTCAGCCATGTGCACAAAGTGGAGTGTGTGATCCCATGGCTCAATGATGCCCTGGTGTACTTCACTGTGTCCCTGCAGCTCTGCCAGCAGCTCAAGGATAAGGTAGGGGCAGAGAGGCACTGGGCCCCTTCATATGGGGAGGGGGTTCCCAGGACTCCTGCATACTCCAAAGTGCCCCTAAATGTTGACATCCATTGTGTCCCTATACACACCAGGTGGCCTGGCTATAGCTCTAAGCAACAGCACCCTCCCTGATCCATTGCCCTAGGGAGAGCTGGACACCTCACCTGGGCCACAGAGGGTACAGCATGGCCAAGCCCCACTCTATCTGGCCCTTATCCTCAGTCCCTGCTACAGACAACACCCCTCCCTCTGCAGATCTCTGTGTTCTCCAGCTACCAGAGCTACAGACCCTTCTGAGCACACAGCAACCAGGAGCCTGTCCCCTGGAAGGCAACCTAGTCCCCCCACAGACTCCCCAAGAGTGCCAGCCAGAGCAGGCACACGGCCTGTCTTCCTCCTTTACCCCGTCTTGCAATGCACTTGCACCAATGGGAATGAGCACTGGAAGCCCTGGGAGGAGCGAACTCTGCTTCAATGTGTTTGGGAGGTCAGAAGGGCTGGGTGAGGGGGGCCCACTTTCCAAGCCCTACCCTCCTGGGCTGGGCATCTTTGGACTCAGGGCAGGGCGGGCCCAGGGTTTGCCTTCCTCTGTCGCTTCACTGCCCTTTTGAGGGGTGAGTGCCAAGGAGGGCACTAAGCCAGGAGTGAGGAGGGAAGGGGAGAGCTGCTGCCCAGCAGGAGCCCCTTAAGAAATAAAGACCATTAGACTCTGCCTGGAGCCCTGTCTATGTGTCCAAGTGGGGACCCAGGCTGGGTCCCTGGTGGTCAGTGGCTGGTAGCATCAGTAGCTGGTGGCCACCGCTCTTCCCAAGTCCTGGCTTCTGGCTCCCTACACCTTATAGACCTAGTAAGTGGTGATAAGAGCTCTGCCAAGCAGTTTAGGCCCCAAGTCTGAGACCAGCTTCCCCTCCCACCAGCTGGGTGGCCTGGAATGATACTACCGAAGGCTTAGAGGGACAATGTGGGCACTGGAATGGAGCACTGAGTCCCCCATATGGCCCACCCCAGTGGGGGCTTGGAACACAGTCCAAACTCAGGTTCTGGGCAGACACAGGGCATTGTTACTGTCACCAGGCAGGACACATAGGAAGTAGCTGGTGGGTTCTCTCAGGGTTAAGGTTCCAGGGCCAAGTTGTCCACTCCCTTGGGTCTTTCCTGAAAGAGAGTCCCAGAGGGCACCAGGCTTCACTCCTAGGTTCCCTCCTACCACCCTCCCTCCTCCACCCTGGAGCAGTCCCCAGCTTCTCAGGACTGGTGTGGCTTACCTTTCGAGGCCTGGGGGAGCAGCAGCAGCTGCAGCAGCAGTGAGCAAGTACTACCAGCAGCAGGAACAGCACAGTGCCTGGGGACAGGACAGGTGTCCCAAGTGTGGCCCCTGACCTGGGGCCTGGGGAGGGAGACCCTGAGGCTGAAGCCACACTCACCAATGAAGGTGAGGAAGATGATGAAGGCAGCGGTGTCCCATGAGGACTGGAACAGCTGGTGGCTCCTCAGTCTCCCCAGCACTTCCTGAGCCGTTGCCTCTACCTCCTCCATGGACAAACCCATCTCAGCAGGCACGTCTGTAGTGACACCTGCCCCAGCCCCACAGAGGCCACCTTAGAACCCAGAGCTTAGCCACCTGGCCTGTCCAATCCCAGTTCCAACTTTTGTTCCTGCCACCTTCCACACCACCCCTCTCTCAGCCCCAGGCCCAACCCTTCTGGTCACTACCCTGACCCAGTAGTAGTGACCACTACTCCCTCCCCAATAACCACCCTCCTTCCCCTTCCTCTGCCCTTAGTAGCCCTTGCTCTAC